TGGTTCCTGGTGGCGGGCCCCTGGCCGATAAGACAGGGTGAATCGGAACCGATCAAAGAACAAGGCCCACCTCGCTTGTTGGGGGTTCAGTCTCTTAGCTGACTGGAGGTAGGCCAAGTTCTTATGATCGGTCCAGACTAGAAAAGGTTGGTCGAAACCCTCAAGGAGGTGCCGCCATTCTTCAAGGGCCAGTTTAACGGCCAGCAGTTCTTTGTTTCCCACATCGTAGTTACGTTCGGCCGGGGTCAACCGTTGGGAGTAGTAAGCACAAGGGTGCAAGGCACGGGGGCTGTGGTAAACTGGTTCTTGAGTTCTTGGAAGGCCTGCTACGCTGTCCTGGACCATGCAAACTTCACCTTGGTGGATGTGAGCTGTGTGAGGGGGGCTGCAATAGTGCTGTAGTTCTTGATAAGTCTTGATGAAATGGCGGTAGAAGTTTGCAAAGCCCAGGAAGCATTGCAGGTCCTTCACACAGGTGGGAGTGGGCCAATTGGTGACAGCTGTAATTTTGGAGGGATCAGCGTGGAGTCTTCCTTGTTTGATGATGAACCCCTGGAATGCCACAGAGGGGGAGTGGAAGATGCACTTCTCAGCTTTTACATAAAGGCGGTTTTCCAGGAGTCGAAGAAGGACCTGACGAACGTGCTGGGTGTGCTCTGTGAGAAAAGAAGAGTAAATGAAAATGTCATCGAGATATACAAAAACGAAACGACCAAGAAAATCACGGAGAATGTCATTGATCAACCCCTGGAAAACCGCCGGGGCATTGGTGAGGCCAAAAGGCATCAACAGGTACTCAAAGTGCAGTCTTCCACTCATCGCCCTCCCGGATACGTACGAGATGGTAGGCACTCCTGAGGTCCAACTTCGTGAAGACTGCCGCACCCTGGAGAGACTCAAAAGCAGAGGAGAGAAGTGGTAATGGATATTTATTTTTGACAGTTATGGCACTGAGACCACGGTAATCAATACATGCACGGAGGCCACCGTCCTTCTCCCCCACAAAAAAGAACCCTGCTCTCAGGGGTGAGGAAGAAGGACGGATCATGCGTGCACGTCGGGCAGTTTCAATGTACTCCTCCAGAGCATGTCGTTTGGGGGGTTTGGAGATGTGGAAGAGGCGACTGTTGGGCAAGGTGGCTCCCGGGTACAGGTCGATGGCACAGTCATATGGTCTATGAGGGGGGAGAGAGTCCATGGCCAGGTGTTTATTAAACACCTGTTGCAGGTCGTGGTAGTCTGGTGACATGGAAGACAGGTCCATGGGCTCTGGTGGGGTTGCAGGCGAGGAAGAGGTGGGTTGCCCGGCGAGGAGGCAGGTCGATGCACAGGCAGGGCTCCACTGGGTGATGGTGCCAGTAGTCCAATCTACGGTGGGGTTGTGTTGGACCAGCCAGGAGTGGCCCAGAACCAGTGGTGTATCCGGGATGGTGAAGATGTTGAACCGTATGTCCTCTTGGTGGTTGCCGGCGATGGTGAGATGGAGCGGTGCAGTGCGATGCGTGATGCGGGTCAGCAGTCGGCCGTCGATAGCTCTCTTTTGGCCGCACTGGGCAGGTAGCTATGAGATGGCCTGGAGCACCACAGTAAAGGCACGACCTCAGGGAATAAATAGGGAGAAACTAATCAGGTGCAGCTGGTGGTGATCTGGGGATGTGAAGCAGGTGTGTCAGATAATGTAATCAGGGTAAGGGAGCAAAAACAGAGTGAGGGAAGTGAGAAGGGCAGGTGCAGCCGGGCAAACCTGACAGACAAGGCGTAGGTGCTTGCAGTGTGGATGATTTATTCTGGCAATCTACAGCATTTGCAAATAACTTTTTGTGCTGTTATGTGTAGGTGCTGTGGCATAAATGTGTTATCCTCACTCTGAATACAGGTTTAAATGTGAAGAGGCACCACTGTCCTGCGTGTTTCAAAGGCAGTTACCATGATCAGAGCCCAATGGTTTGGCAGCACGCCTTCATTTTCTGACACAAAAACTCATATTAAAAATCCTGACTGATCATCCTTTTCTTTCTTTTATTGAACAGAGTAGCTTTCATTTCTACACAGAAATGATGCATTGTTTGTAGGCTGACTGCAGTTCATCAGCACTTGTTACCCCAATGAGACAGCTCAGGTGCCACCTATAAAAATACACTTTCCATGAATTGTCTGAACTTTGTGGCTGCTGTCGTGTTTTTCTTCAGCTGGAATAGTTTTTCCCTTCTAAAGTATTTTAAGAGTCTTCATTCAGCTTGAGCTTCCCAGCTAGTGGACTGCTGGGGTAAAGTGTCGAGAAGCGGCCAAGAGTCCACACTGGGAAGACGTTTCTGTAGGAGGTGTAGCTGATGGCACAGGTCTTGTTGAAAACGCCCGCAATATTCCCCTGGTGAAGTGGAAGCAGAGCTCGTCACATGTCAAATCATAATAGTTCCATTAGATTCATTTGCTAATAGGCTGCATTAATGTTGGAACAAGCTAATTATAATTATAGTGCTTCTGTTGTTTAGCTTAGCCTCAATGAAATATGGTACAAAGGGTCGAACAAAATAATACACGTATAACACAATACATATCAGCAGCACAGATTCCAGCCTTCAAATTGATCCGACAGTTAAATCAACACCTCTGTACAACATTTTCAGCACAAACTAAACATTATCACCTACATGAGGGAGGATTTATTATAGGACTGCCTTTGTTTTAGCTAGGTGGACCTAATAAACTGACAACTGAGTGTGTAACATGTAAGTAATATTACAAGGCAGAAGCTCACCTGTGGCCAGTCTCCGTTGGGCAGCTGCTTATCAATCAGCAGCTGTACACCTTTCTCCACAGCTTGTGTGTCAGGATGCCTGGTTACACACAGACGAGATTTGTTGAACTTAAATAAATGCTTTTGTTATATTAGTTTTGATTAGATTCAATTTTACTACCATCAACTGGAAGTTCTTTTTGTGCTCATGTGAATAAACCACACAGATGCATTATTCAGCACTGCGTGCACTTAATCATAGGCAACAGCAGATAAGTAACTAAATAATATAAATACAGTACATGACATGCGATTATAATCAGGTGAACAACAGCCAATACAAACCTATAACAATTCTGTAAAACCCAAACCTGAACCCATCACATCCATTGAGATCCCACTGTGATGGAGCATAACCACCAAGGCTCTGAGCTGAGGGCTCCTTTACCTGACAGCCATGAGGCCTAACAAAGCCCAGCAGGTGTTGTGGATCTGAGGAGCACTGCTCTGGATGTAGCGCCGCTGAACGCACGACTCAAAGTCCTCTCCCCATCCACCATCTGGCATCTGCCAATCCAGCAGGAACTGGCAGGCTTTCTGCACCTCTACACACACATCCCTGTTAACAGAGAACACAAACTGACTATATTTGTGCCGACACAACAGCAACTTAATATTACAGGCTAGGAGTCTGAACATTTGTGTGTCAGTGTTTGGAACCCTTACCCATTATTGTAGACGTGACCCATACAAGCAAAGGCTTCAAGGCCAAACCATATTCCATATGTGAAGCACACAGCCCAGGACCTGAGCACAAGCAAACCAGACTGAGCTCGACCTGTCGACAGGAAGATGATCAGGAAGTAAGTGTAGGCTCACCCTTCCCAGGAGCCGTCAGGCCTCTGCACTTTCCTGCAGTACTGCAGTCCTTCTTTCAGAGTGGACCTGAAGAATAAACGGCGAACAGTTTTACAGACTTCATCTCTTTCCCCTACAGTTTCCTGCTAAACTTCATGTACTGTATGTATGATGCTGTGTAGTGTACCTGATCTCCTCAGCACGGTGTTCAGGGTAGGCCTTCTGGAAGTGCCTCAGAGCCTGCATTACTGCTGAGGTACACTCCACATAGGTGTAATCTATCATGATGTCACCTGTTTGTGTGTGTGTGTGTGT